GAGTCCATTGTTGCTGGCACTGTGCCTGGTATCTACTAAAACTGAGCTTCTAAATGCAGTAGATATTCTGTCATACGTGTCCAGGTGCTTAGAGCTATAGATCCTCTCTTGGAAGGGTCCAGTTCAACAGGACCCTTACTGCTGCTACAATTGAATGACCTGTGGCTGTAGGGTCAATAAAAACATGAACAGGAATTTGCCTCTAGTCTAGGAAAAGATGGAATTTCAGTAATGGTCTCTGTGAGACCACACATTGTCTCTGAGACCATAATGTTGTTGTGAAATGCTGCTGAGTTGTTTCTGACCCATAGCGACCCTGGATAGGGCTTCCAAGGAGTGACTGGTGGGTTTGAACCACCAACCTTGGTGTTTAAACTGATCTTGTGATCCAGAGCATTATCCTGCAGCACTAGGTCTCGGAGACCATGATATTAACCATTAAATTATCTAGGGATAAATGAATCTTTGAAAAGATTGATGTGGCTTGTAGATCCACACTGGAGCTATGGAAACCTCATGACACACTAGAGAGGGAGTCAGTATATTTTGTTGTTCAGAAGAAATGGCTGAAATGTTAGAGACACAGGAAAAGACTGGTCAGTGGGTGCTCTCTTGTCACTCTAGTTGATGTTTTAGACCAAGATGCAAAGTAAAGTTTTAAGAGGCATTGGAAGAAGTCAAAATAACTCAGCACCCCTGACTTAATCACCTGTTAAAATTTGGATATTTTAAGCAAAACATAACCCAACCGCTGTGCAGCTGGTTCTGATTTATGTGAACCCTATGTGTGTCAAGGGTATTTCCAATACACTGAAGATATTGGCAAAGAACAAGGCTCTGGGAATTGATGGAATACAAATTTAAATCTTTCAACAAACTGTGGCAGTGCTGAAGGCATACACTCATCTATGCCAAGAAATTTGGAAGACACCTACCTGGCCAATTGATTGGAAGAGATCCATATTTGTGTCCATTCCAAGGAGAGGTGACCCAACAGAATGCAGAAATCATTGGACAATATCATTAATATTGCAGGCAGGTAAAATTTTGCTAAAGATAACTTAAAAATGGCTACAGTAGTATATTGACAGGGAGCAGCCAGAGGTTCAGGCCAGATTCAGACAAGTATATGGAAAGAGGGATATCACTGCTGACATGATCTTGGATGAAAGCAGAGATTACCTGAAAGATGTTTACCTGTGCTTTATTGTCTGTGCTTTTGATTGTGTAGATCATGACAAGCTATGGACAACACTGAGGAAAATGAGTATTCTGGAACACTTAATTGTGTTCATGAGGAGTCTGTACATAGACTAAGAGGCAGTAGTTTGAACAGAACAAGGCAACACTGAGTGTTTTAAGACCAGGAAAGGTGTGTGCCACGATTGTATTCCTTCACCATATTTGTTAAATTTGTATGCTGAGTAAATAATTTGAAAAGCTGTATTATATGAAGAAGAACTTGGCATCAGGATTGGAGGAAGACTCATTAACAACATGCAATATGCAGATGATACAGCCTTGGTTGCCAAAAGTGAAGAGGACTTAAAATAGTCATTGATGAAGATCAAAGACCACAGCCTTCAGTATGAGTTGTACTTCAATCAATGTAAAGAAAATAAAAATACTCACTACTGGATCAATAAATAACATAAATGGGAAAAAGATTGAAATTGTCAAAGACTTTATTTTGATCCAAACACCATCACCACTCACGGAAGCAGCAGTCAAGAAATTAAAAGATGTATTGGGAAAATTTGCTGCAGAAGTCCTTTTTACAGTGTTCAACAGCAAAGATACCAGTTTGAGGACTAAAGTAACCTGACCTAAACCATGGTATTTATAGTAGCCTCATATGTATGTGAAAGTTGGACAATGAATAAGGAAGACCATATAAGATTTGATGCGTTTGAATTATGGCACTGGAGGAGAATAGTAAAAGTACCACTGACTGCCAAGAGAATAAACAAATCTGTGTTGGAAGAAGGGCATTCAGAGTGCTCCCTAGAAGCCAGGAAGGTGAAACTTCATCTCTCATACTTTGGACATCTTATCAGGAGGGACCAGTCCCTGTAGAAGGACCTCATGCTTGGTAAAGTGGAGGTTTAGTGAAAAAGAAGAAGGCTCCCAACAAGATGGATTGGCACAGTGGCAGCAACAATGCATTCAAGTGTAGCAACGATTGTGAGATTGTTGCAGGACAGGGCAATGTTTTGTTCTGTTGTGCATAAGGTCATTCATTACGAGTCTGTAATGACTCGATGGCACCTAACAACAACAACAGCATGTGTGTCAGAGTAGAATTGTGTTCCATAGGGTTTTCAATGGCTGACTTTCAGAGGTAGGTCACCAGGCCTGCTTTCTTGTGTACTTCTGGGGATAATCAGTTCTCCAACCTTTTGGTTATTGACCAAACATGTAATCATTTACACTGCAGGGACTTGAGTCGGGTAGCGGAGTAGAGATAGAAATGAAGTGTGTGCATACCTATTGGACTGTTCCCTGTCTCCGGTGACAAAGCAGACCATGTGGAACCTCCGTGTGCTGTCTGGACTGCCATCTTTGTAGTGGATACTAGATTTCCATCAGTCGCTGAAAGAAAGAAAATGTCAAGGTTTAGATCCCTGTTAACTCAGAATGATGAAAATGTAAGAAGAATCTTAGCGTACACAAATTTCTTTACAATAACTGTTCTTTCTACTTTGCTTCAAATCAGATGCTGTAGACCCCAGGGTACAAAAGTGACCCAGAGGGCTGTCCAGGTGACTGCAAATAAAATTTTCTAACAGGACACTGTAGACGTCAAATACAGGGCATTCTCAGGAAAAACTTTTGGAACCCTGAAGGGAAGCTGTTCATTTTATAAACAATGACAAATTAAAATGAGACAAGCAATATTCTAATTAGAGCAGAAATTCTTAACCTCTTCTGTACCATGGCCCTCTTTAGTAGACTTATGAACTATATGAACACCTTCATAAAAATATAGAATAAAAGATAAAAATATTAAAAAAATTATAAAGGAAATAAATTGTATTGACATATAACGATCACTCTTAAAAATCATTAAAAAAAATAATACAGGCACTTTTCTAACTTAAACATTAAACAAGGTAATGTAAGCCTAGTAACTACTGGAATCTTGAAGAAAGGCAAAAATGATATTTCAAATGATCAGAACCATTATCACCAGTTGCCATGGAGTGAGTTCTTACTCAGGGTGACCTCATGTGTGTCACAAAACCCCACGTGTGCTCCATAGGATTTTCAGTGGCTAATTTTTTGGAATTAGACAGCCAGAACTTTCTCCCAGGGTGCCTTCAACCTTTTGGTTAGCAACCAAGTGATTAACCAAACCAGGTGATAGAAAAAACTAGGAATTAATAAGGGTCATCGTGGAACAATATGATGGACATAATTATTGTCACTGAACACAAACTGTGTTTGTGAAGATTGTTGACGTGACAAATGATTTATTACATACATATTCACACAATAAAAAGTTTCTCCAACAGTGGTAATGTGATATAAAAAAATTCTGTGATTTCTATTGGTAACAAATTTATAGACACTACTGATATTAGTGTGCTTTGTAGCCTATATTCATCAGTGAATGAAATCCTAAATTTCACTTCAAGATTAGTAAAAATAGAGATGTAGTTGATTTCCAGGTTTACCATCGGCACAATTAGGGAAAAGGACGGTATATTCTTACTTTCAACCAAGGAAGTCTTGGCAGGAAATGGAATAGAGCTTGGCCAAGTCTCAGGAGAACTTCTCTTTTTGGCTGTGACTTCTGTGGGTGAAGAAGCAACTTTCCATGATGTTTGGGCCTCAGATAGGGTGAAAGCAAATGTCTGTGTCTCAGATGGAATGATCTCTCCTTCGGTAGTGGTCTGCATTGAAGTTTCTCCTTGGGATGTTCTGTGAGGATGTTCTTCTTGAGGCATACTTAGTGTATATGTTGGAGCAGAAGTTAGAGCTGATATCTGCTGAAGTGCCAGTGTGTTGGGCTGTCTTGTTGCGAAAGTTCCAAAGGAGAGGACAGTCTTTCTGGAGGTGGATAGGGAGCTGGTTTCTCCCTCAGTGGGTAAACTCATCTGAGAAGGAGCAGAACCAGACCTTGCTGTTTGGTCTGTTTTGAAAAGATCTGTGGGTCTGGATGATACAGAAGAAGTCAAGGTCATAGCCGGTGATGTCATACCTGGGTCTGGATACACCACACTCTCTGAGGCAGATCTAGGATCTCCTATTCCTGAAGTGGAGATTCCTACCATGGAATGTAAGGCAGGTGATGTAAGGATATCAATAGAGCCTATGGGTTGTACTTTATTTGTACTTGTTGCCATGGTATAAGTCATAATGTCTACCCCTGTGCTTTTATCTTGAGGCCTGGAAACTGAGGAAGATGCTGGACTTGCACCTGACTCCACACCTGGGACTTCAGAAAGGTCATGGGTCAAGGTGGACTTTGGAATCACTCTAGTTGAAGGATGTGTAGTTAGTAGTGATAAGACCTTGACTAGGTCTGAGGAGGCTGAAACTGGAGACATTTGGGGACCTGCCTCAGCATTGGTGGGCTTTATAGGTGTCCATTTAGGTAGTGTAGGCAAGTTATCAGGCACTTTGCTCATCATTTCAGATGTATCTGTGACCTCAACTGGGCTCGTGGTCACAGCAAGCGGAGAAAAGGTTTTGACTTCAGGTGAGTGAGTGGAGCCACCACTAATTTCTCCAGAACTGACCAAACTGAGGTTTTCTGTGGTCTGTGGCATTCCAGCTGTGGAGACAATACTCTTATTAGAAGATGGAATACTGGTGGGGTGGGCCATTATTCTTGTCTGTGCCTCAAAGGTATCTGGGCTTTTGACTGGGATCAAATTAGAAGTTAATGCTTTCTCAGTGGACACTTCCCTAATCTTAGGGATTAATGAGGTGGAGGCTATAAATTCCCCCATTGTGGGGGAAATGGCCAGTGGAGTGAGCCCCTCAGGGGACACAGAGGAGACTGAAGAAAGGGCTCCTGGATCAGCCGTCTGCGTGGTTACCGATGACTCTGACAAGGGGCTACTTTGTCTTCCAAGGGTGATAGTCTCTGAGGTTGGGGCCACATCAGAGCTTGAGTTTAAAGGCATAGATGAACTCCATCTAGCAACTAAGCTTCTTCCTAGATCTGATGTGACTCCTCCATGATTAGAGGCTTGAATGACCCCTCTGCTGGTTTGAATTGAGCCTACAGTGGCAGCAAGACTCTGGACCTCTTCAGACCTATCTGGAGATGATGTTCTCTCATCGTTAGAAATAGAATTAACTGGTGTTGATATCTCTGATGGTGTAGATATTCTAGTGGAAGCCTTGGGGCTTAGTACCACAGTGGTGTATGGGTTGGAGAAGGCTGGGGTGGATTTAGAGCTCATCACCCCTAAAGGAGCTAAGGTCTCAGGAAGAGGCATAGATAGATTTAAAGTTCCCTTGATCTCCTCACTGGTGATGGTCTCCATTGAGGCAGAGGTTGTAGATGAAGATACGTCAGTTTTCACTCCTGAAACACTGGTAAAATTTAAGGTTTCAGGACTCTTTGGCCATTCAGAAGACATAGTCCTGGCTGTAGGGATGCTTGGTGAATCTGTGGTGCCAGGGGAGGTGCTGATGACAGTCTTGCGTGTCCCTTTCCCAGATGGAGATGAAGACCCCAGAGGAGGAGTTAAACTTCGGACTCTTTCAGCACTTGTTTCTGTATTACTTAGTGTCATGGAAAAAGGGACAGCTGAGCTGGCTTCTGTCCTGGGTACAGTCTCAGCTGTCCTCGAAGTCATGGAGGTGGTGACTCTTTGGGTTGAGAATGTGCTGCTACCAGAGGCTTTAATGCTAAGAGCGGAAGCAGATGTCAGCAGAGGCACACTGGTTCTTATCCGAAGGTCTCCAGCAGAGCCAAGTTCAGGGGAGAAGTTGCTTCCAGTGTTCACTGGAGTCAGTCCCAGACTAGTTTGTGTTCCAGAATCTGGGGTTTCAGTAGATAATGTATCAGGGATGGTTGAAGAAACCAGCCCAAACCAGGAAGGTGGGTTTGTCCTTCCTGGAACACTTGAACCAACAGCCACCCTGATATCTGCTGGAGATGTAGAGATTGGGACACTTTTCATGGCCTGGATCCAATGTGTGGCTGTCTCCAATGAAGCTGTAGCTCGAGTTGCCAGGTGTGTTGTGCCCCGGGTGCTTCCTGTGTTGGTGCCTCTTGTCATTGACATCTCAGTGGGAGTGGGAAATTCATCAGTGGCTGTGTCACTTGTGGCTTCTAGGTGGAGTGTGTCTATAGACGTTTCTCTGGTAGAAGTTTCTTCTTCTGTGGAGCTAGTCTTTGGGGTGCTTAAACCAGGGACCTCCATAGCAGAGGAAAAGGTGAAAGAACCTGGTAAACTGGTTGATGCTGAAGATCTCTCTGGTTGCATTTCATGACTTGTCTCAGTCCGCTTTGTGTCCTGGGATCCCGTAAAGTATCTAACTGTGGCTCTGCTCCTAGATTCTACTGGTAGGGTGCTGGAAATGGGTGCCCTATGGTGAGAGCTTCCAGGGGAAGTAATGCTGGTGATGTATGTCATGGAGTTGCTGTCTGTTGTTTTGAGAAATTCCCCTGGGTAAGATGAAGAGACCTCAGTTGGAGTTATCTCCTTGCTCTCTGGACTGGTAAAAACCAGGGTTGAAGCTGGAGTGATAGCCAAATTTTTTTCTGGAGATGAAGTTTCAGGTGATTCACTAAGTGCATTTAAAGCGTTCTTAGTTTCCTCTCTATTGATGGATAGCTGGGTTTCAGTCTCTACTAAACTGGAGGTAGTAGATGTAGGAGACTTGGTTTTTACTTCTGAAATGCTAGAAAGACTGAGGGTGTTAGGACTCTCTGACAATTCAGAAACCAAAGTTTTGGTTGTAGGGATACTGGGTGAGTCTTTGGTCTCAGACAAGACAATTCCTGCTGTCTCTTCCCCTGATGGAGAAGACGATCCCAGAGGAAGAGTTGTACTTTGGATTCTTTTAGCACTCATTTCAGCATTACTTAGTGTCATGGAAAAGGGGATAGCAGAGCTGAGCTCTCCCCTGGCTAAGGTCTCAGGGGTCCCTGAAGTCACGGAGGAGGTGACTCTCTGGACTGAAAATGTGCTGATCTCTGAGAATTTATCACCAAGAGCAGAAGTAGATGTCAACATAGGAATACTGGTGCTTATTCTGATGTCTTTGGCAGAACCAAGTTGAGGAGATAAAGTACTTCCAGGATTCAATGGAGTCAGTCCCAGGCTGATTTGCTTCCTGAAATCTGGAGTCCCACTAGGTGGTGATTCAGTGATGGTAGAAGAAACCAGTCCAAGTGATGGGTTTGTCCTTCCTGGAGCACTGAAGCTAACAGCCACCCTGGATACTGGGAATCTTTCTATGGCCTGGGTCAAATGTGTAGATGTCTCAGATGAATCTGTTTTTCTATAGGGCAGGTGAGTTGTGCCCCAGGTGTTCCTTGTACTCCTGTCTCTTGTCATTGAGATTTCAGTGGAACCAAGAACCTGATCAGTGGCTTCTATGGTGAATGTGTCTGTAGATGTTTCCTTGGAAGAAGTTTCTTCTGTAGAGCTAGTCTCTAGGGTAGTGGAAACAGGGATCTCCAAAGCAGGGGAAAAGGTAACAGAAGGTAGTGGGGTGCTAGAAATTAGTGTACTGAGGAGGTCAAGGCTTCCAGGGGCACTGGAGCTGGTAGTGTGCCTTGCACTGGTGCTGACTGTGGTTATGAATTCCTCCACTGGATGAGATGAAGTGACCTCATTGGGACTTGTTGTCATACTGTTCAGGCTGGTAAAACCTAGAGGCTGGGCAGAAGTGGTAGCCAAATGTATTTCTATGTTAGGAACTGAAGTTTCTGGTGGATGCAGAGATGGACTAAAAGTTTCCTTGATCTTTTCTCCAGTGTTGATTAGCTGAGTGTTGCTGTCCATGGTAGATGGAGAAGTAGTGTCCATTTTCATTCCTGAAACACTGGTGGGGCCAAACATTACAGAACTCCCTGACCATGCAGAAGCTGAAGTCCTGACTGTGGGGATGCTGAGTGAGTCTGTGGTCTTGGAAGAGTTTCTGAAGATGAGCACCCTCTCTGTTGTCCCTTCCCCTGATGGAGATGTTGACCCCAGAAAAGGAGTTGTACTTTTGACTCTTTCAGCACTTGTTTCTGTGTTACTTAGTGTCATGGAATTCAGAATAGCTGAGTTGGGCTCTGCCCTGGATAGGGTTTCAGGGGTCCCTGAAGCCATGGAAGAAGTGACTCTCTGGGTTAAGAATGTGCTGGTCTCTGAGATTTTGCTACCAAGTCCTGAAGCAGATGTCAACAGAGGAACACTGGTGCTTATTCTGATGTTTCTGGCAGAGCTGAGTACAGGAGAGAAAGTGTTTTCAGTACTTAATGGAGTTAATTCCAAGCTGGCTTGAATCCTGGTCCCAGTAGGTGATGTTTCAGGGATGGTCCAAGAAACTAGTCCAAATAATGGGCTTGTCTTTTCTGGACCAGTAAAGACATCTGGCACCCTGGTCTCTGTGTGAGTTGTGGAGGTTGGGACACTTTTCATGGTGAGAGTCAATGTGGATGTCTCAGATGAAGCTGTGGTTTCTGTGGTTGGGTGTGCTTTGTTCCAGGTGTTTTCTGTGCTGTGGCCTCTTGTCCTTGAAGTGCCATTGGGTGTGTCCTTGTCAGTTGTGACTTCTGTGGTGAGTGTGTTTGTAGTTGTTTCTCTGGAAGAAATTTCTTCTGTGGAGCCTGTCTTTGGGGTTGAAGGGATGATGGAGGATGACAAACTGGTTGATGATGATGTTCTCTCTGTTTCTATTAGTTTCTTTGTCCCTGTCAGTGGAGGATGCTGGGATCCAGTAAAGAATTTAAGTGTGTCAGCACTGGTCCATGCTGCTGCTGGTGAGATGTTTGAATTGTGTGTACTATGAAGGTCAGAACCTATAGGGAAAACTGTCCCAGTGATATATCTTACAGAGGTGTTGGCTGTGGTTCTGAGCTCCTTCACTGGCTGAGATGAAAACCCCCTAGTTGGGCTTGTTAACCTGCTCTCAGAATTGGTAAAACTGGGGCTGAAGGCTGAGGTGGCAGCCAAATTGATCTCTTTTCCAGGAACTGAAGTCTTAGATGGCTCAACAGAAGGACTAAAAATGTTCTGACTCTCTGTTCTAATAATGGACAGTTGGGTGTTGTTTTCCATGGAGACAGAAGTGGTAGGTTGAAAAGAATTGTCCGTTTCCACATCTGAAACACTGGGGACTTTGACTATGCCAGGACTCCCTGACCATTCAGGACCCAAAGTCCCAGCTGTGGGGATGCTGGGTGAGTCTATGGCCTCATAAGAGGTGCTGGAGGTGAAGACACCACCTTTTGTCTTTTCCTCTGATGAATATGGAGATCCCAGAGGAGAAGTTGTACTTTTGGCTCTTTCAGTACTTGTTTCTGCATTATTTAGTGTCATGGAATTAGGGACAGCTGAGTTGGACTCCGCCCTGGATTGGATCTCAGGGGTCCCTGAAGTCATGGAGGAGATTACTCTCTGTACTGAGGATGTGCTGATTCTTGAGAATTTATCACCAAGAGTGGAAGCAGATGTCAACAAAGGAACACTGGTCTCTATTTCGATGTCTCTGGCAGAGTCAGGTTTAGGAGAGAAGGTGCTTCCAGTGTTTAGTGGAGTTAGTCCCAGACTGATTTGTTTCCTGGAATCTAGAGTCCCACTAGAAGATGTCTCAGGAATGGCAGAAGACACCAGTCCCAATGATGTATTCATTGTTTCTGAATCACTTGAGTAAACAGCCACTCTGGTCTGTGTGGAGGTTGGAACACTTTTCATGGCTTGGGTCAAATGTATGTCTGTCTCAGATGAAACTGTAACTCTTGTGGGTGGGTGAGTTTTGTCCCTTGTACGGCTACCTCTTTTCACTGACATCTCAGATGGAGCAAGAACCCGATCAGTGGCTTCAATGTGGCGTGTGTCTGTAGTTATTTCCATGGAAGAGCTTTCTTCTGTAGGGTTACTCTCTGAGATGGTTAAAATGGAGACCTCTGCAAGAGGAGGAAAGGGGACAGAAACCAGTGCACTGGTTGATACTGAAGTTCTCTCAGATTGCATTTCATGACTTGTCTCAGTCCACCTTGTGTGTTGTGACCCAGTAGAGTGTTCAACTGTTTTAGTTCTGGTCCCAGACACTCCTGGTAGAGGGGTGGGAATGAGTGTACTGAGGGTGTCAGAACTTCCAAGGGCAGTAGTAGTGCTAGCGGTGAGTCTTGCAGACGTGTTGATTGTGGTTAAGAGCTCTGCCACTGGGTGAGATGAAGTCTCCTCAGCTGGACTTTTTGCCCTTCTCTCAGAGTTGGTAAAACTGGGACTAAAGATTGAAGTGGCAGCCAAATTGATGTCTTTTACAGTACCTGAAGTCTCAGGTGTCTCAATAGATGGACTCAAAGTGTTCTTAGTCTTTGCTGCAGTGATGAACAACTGAGCATTGGTCTTCATTGAGATTGAAGGGGTCGATGGAGAAGCGTCCATTTTCACTCCTGAATCACTGGTGATACCAGAGGCTGCAGGACTCCTTGACCATTCAGAAGCCAAAGTTCTGGTTGTGCGGATGCTTGGTGACTCTGTGGTCTCAGAGGGGGCACTTAGGGGGAAGACCCTCTCTGTTGGCCCTTCCCCTGTTGGAGAAGAAAGTCCCAGTCCTGGAGCTGTACTTCTGAACCTTTCAGCACTTGTTTGTACATTACTTGGTGTCATGAACAAAGGGACAATTGAGCTGAGTTCTGCTCTGGTTAGGGTCTCAGGGGTCTCTGAAATCATGGAGGACGTGACTTTCTGGGTTGAGATTGTACTGACCTCTGAGACTTTGTCATCAAGAGTTGAAGCAGACATCAGCAGAGGAACACTGGGGATTATCCTGATATCTCCAGCAGTGTCAGGCTCAGGCGAGAAGGTGCTTCCCTTGTTCAATGGAGTTACTTCCAGATTGGGTTGCTGCCTGGAATCTGGACTGCCAGTGGGTGATATCTCAGGCGTGGTAGAAGAAACCAGTCTAGACAATGGGTTAGTCTTTTCTGGAGCACTTGAGTCAACAACCCCCTTGGTCTCTGCTGGAAATGTGGATATTGGGGCACTTTCCAAGGCCAGAGTCAAATGTTTGGATGTCTCTGATGATGCTGTAACTCCCGTGAGCAGGTCTGTTGTGCCCCACGTGTTTCCTGTGCTGCTGCTTCTTGTTGTTGAGACTTCACTGGGAGCAGTAAACTGACCAGTGGTCTTGTCAGTTGTGGCTTCTGTGGTGAGTGTGTCTGTAGATATTTTTCTGGGAGAAGAGTCTTCTGTGGACCAGGTCTTTGGGGTAGAAGTGGTGACAGAGCCTGGTACACTGATAGATTCTGATGTTCTCTCTGTTTCTAGTCTATTACTTGTATCTGTCCATGGAGCAGACTGTGATCCAGTAAAGAATTTAGATGTGTCAGCACTGGTCCATGTCACTGCTGGTGGGGTGCTAGAAATGGCTGTACTAGGGAGGTCAGAGCCTGTAGGGGAGACTGTTCCAATGGCGTATTTTGCAGAGATGTTGACTGTGGTTGAGAGTTTCTCTACTGGGTGAGATGAAGACACTCCAGTTGGGTTGGTTTCCCTACTCTCAGAATTGATGGAAGTGGGACTGAAGGCTGAGGTGACATTCAAACTCATCTCTCTTCCAGTAGCTGAAGTCACAAGTGGCTCATTAAACACACTCAAAGTATTCTTAGTCTCTGCTCCAGTGATGGATGGCTGGGTTTTGGGGTTCATTGAGATAGAGGTGATAGATGGAGAAGAAGTATCAATTTTCACTCCTGACTCACTGGTGAGGCCAAGGATGCCAGGACTCCTTGACCATTTAGAAGCCAAAGTTCTGGTCACTGGGGTGCTGGGTGAGTCTGTGTTCCCAGATGAGATATTGAGCGTAAAGAGTCTCCCTATTGTCCCTTCTCCTGATGGAGAAGGAGACCCCAAAGGAGGCGTTGTACCACTGACTCTTTCAGCATTTGTTTCTACCTTACTTAGTGTCACGGAAAAAGGGACAGCTGAGCTGGGTTCTACCCTGGGTAGGGTCTTGCGGGTCTCTGAATTAATGAAAGAGGTGACTTTATAGGTTGAGAATGTGCTGACCCTCGAGACTTTATCACCAAGAGTTGAAGCAGATGTCAACACAGGAACACTAGTGCTTACCCCGTTATCTCCAGCAGAGATGGTATCAGAAGAAAAGGGAAAGGCAGTGTTTGATGGAATCATTCCCAGGCTGGTTTGCATCTTGGATTCTGGGTTTCCACTGTATGATGTGTCAGGGATCATAGAAGAAATCAGGCCAAATGGTGGATTTATGTTTCCTGGAGTACTTGAGCCAATGGTTGCTATGGTCTCTGCTGGAGACTTGGCGATTGGGGTACTTTTCATGGCCTGAGTCAAATGTCTGTCTGTCTCAGATGAAGCTATGGGTAGGGATGTTGAGCCCCACATGTTTCCTGTGCTGCTGTCTCTTGTTGAGATCTCAGTGGGAGCATGAAACTTGTTAGTGTTTTGGTCGCTGGTGGCCTCAATAGTTACTGTGTCTGTAGCTATTTCTCTGGGAGAATTTCCCATGGTGGAGGTGGTCTTTGGGGTGGTGAATCCAGGATCCTTAACTGTAGTAGGTTGATGCATGATAGATGGATGTGAGTTTTTCTCAACTTTAAGACTTCTTGTTTCCCTGTTTGTATGCTGGAATTCAGTGCTTTCTTTAGCTCTGTCTGGGCTTGTCCATGGCATTGATGTAGTAGTGTTGGAAATAGGAGTTTGAGGGAGATTAGAGCTTCTAAATTTGCTGGTGGTATCTGGTGATTGTGTCACCAAGAGACTGTTTGTGTTGCTGAGTTGCCCTGATGAGAATGAAGTAACCTGAGATGAATTTATGACTTCATTGTCCATCATGGAGAAGCCTTGAGTGGGGACTTCGGTGCCATTCATGCTGGTCTCTCCTGTATGTGCTGAGGACTCAGGTGGGGACTTTGGTGCCCCTTTTTCTGGTACTGATAAAGGATTAGTGGTCTTGTCTGAGAGTAAAGTGACAGATGAGGAAAAGTTTGTTTTCTCTCCTAAAGCTCTGGTGAGGGTGTTGGTGTTGGAAGTTTCTGACCATTCAGTGGTTAAAAGCTCTGGTGAGGGTGGGCTGGTGTGTGTCTTGGAGCTGATGATGGGTTTGTCTGAGATTGAACCCAGGTCTGTTGTCCCCTTTGCTAATGGCGGTGGAGATGGGAAACTCAGATGGTTTTTCCCAGTCTTTTCACTTGTGGTGTGGTCACTTGAAGTTATGGAAGGAAGGAGAGCTGAGCTGGGCTTTCTCAGTACTGGTGTCTCAGGGGTCTCTGAAGTCAGTCTGCTCCAAGGGAGTGATTTAGATACTGTTGAGTCGTCACTGAGAGCTGCAGGATAAAAACATCAGTGAGCATGAAGGCGATACACATTGTCTTATAATGTTGGCGCTGAATTGGGACCCCAGGGACAGGGCATTGTGAAAAGTTACCCACATCCAAAACTCAAATGAGAATGTTGGCCTGTAATCTGAATCCATTGAGGGCAGACCCATCCTTGTCACCATTGTATTGAGGCACCTCTGGGCAGGTTTCAAACTGTAGCCTTTCTGTTACTAGGTGAGCACTTAGCTGTTTGTGTCACGGGTGGGCACTCCTGATTGGGGCTTGTGGATAATTGCTGTGGAGTGTAGTTCTACTTAGAAACACATGGATCACCTTGAGTTGGAAATCAACTTAACAGTAACTGTTTTCTGACTGAGGGTAGGGGAAGAATACTACTGCCACCTAGTGGCTAGAGGCCAGGGCTGCTACTCAGCATCACATAGAAAATGATTTAGCCCCGAAATGTTTTGCATGTGAAAGAAAACTGGACGATGAATAAGGAAGACCTTATTAAAGAATGATTCCTTTGTGCTATGGTGTTGGTGAAGATACTGAACACACCTTAGACTAACAGAAGAACAAACAAATCTGTCTTGGAAGAAATACACTCAGAATGCTCTTGGAAGTGAGGATGGAAAAACTTTGTCTCATGTACTTGGACTTGTCGTCAGAAAGGACGGATACCTGGACAGGCTTGGTAAAGTAGGCCAACAAAAAAGAGGAAAACTCTCAACTAGATGGATTGCCTGCAACAGTGGTCTCAAGCAAAGCGACAATTGTGAGGAAGGCTTAGGTCTGGGCAGTATTTCAGTCTGCGGTATCTAGAGTTGTTATGAGTTCAAAGAGAATCAATAGCACTTAACATCAACACCCACCAATGTATTCACATTTGTGAGGAAGTTTAGAAACTCCACTATAGAGGGATTAAATGACTAGGACTCGCCTCCAGCTTCTGGGGCTATTACCATGGAGAAAGTAGGCAGGGAAACAGTTTAGTGGGTTATGACCAACATCCCCAAATAAACAAAAGAATAGAATGGAATAAAAGACATCAGGGTTCACTGAACGAAGCACGAGCTGAGTTATTTTATGAAAGTGTTTTCAGTTACACACATAGAAGCAACATCACACCACACACACCACACTGTGTTGTTAATCACTGTCGATGTGGCCCTATTCGTGGCAACCTTATGTCCGGTGCAAGGAGGCATGTGCCATCTTCATGGTCACGGTATGCTTGAGTCCAGTGTTGGGGCTCTGCTTTCCATCCCTCTCCTGAAGGTTTTATTTGGTTTTCCTGACCCTCTACTTTACCAACCACACTAGACCACAATGCATTTCTTTATTTGTTGTCATTAAGTTCCATGGAGTCAGTTCTTACTCATAACGACTCTGTATAGGGTTCCTGAGAAGCGGCTGGTGGGTTTGAATCACTGACCTTGCATTAGCAGTCCACTGCTTTTCCTCCAAGGAGCTCTGGTAGCATAGTGGTTACGAATCGGGCTGCAAACCTTAAGGTCAGCAGTTCGAAACTACCAGGGGCTCCATGGGAGAAAGATGAGGCATTCTACTCCCGTAAAGATTTCAGCCTTGGAAACCCCTTACAGGGTTGCTATGAGTTGGAACTGACTCCAGGACACATCACCAACCAACCAAGCTATCCTCCTGTGCCACACCACTAGGGGGCGTCCCAATTCACACCCTTTTAGTTGTGGTATCAGCTCATCCTCTGATATGCTGTTGAGCCTGGATTCCTTCCCTTTTTCCATGTCTCTATTTCTGCTAGCACAGACCTGGGGTCGTTGGCAAGCTAGGATCCCAATCACTAGGTTCTTACAGAGCCAGGCTCCATACACACCAGCTAGGGGACCTTGAACAAGTGACATAACCAACTGTGTGTTGATTTCCTTTCCTGCCAATGATAATAATATCTCTCCCAGGAGGTTGTTATGAAGAGTATATGGATTCATATATGTAAAGAACTTAGAACAGTCCCTGAACGAAGCAAGATCTGAGTTATTTTATGAAAACGTTTTCAGTTACACACATATAAGTTAGTGTTCTTTGTTAAATACACGAGTATTGGCATGGTTAATTTTGGCACAACAGTTATCACTTGAAAGCAAACAAACCAAAAAATTCAGCTGCATTCAGTAGATTCTGACTAATGGAGACCCCATGGAGTTGAACTGTGTGCTCCACAGGGTTTCAAAGGCTGAGGTTTTGGAAGAAAAGCTAGTCTTTTCTTTCAAGATGCCTCGGGGTGGATTTGATCTGAAAGCTTTTGTTAGTAGCTGAGCACTTAACAGCTTTTGCCACCTAGGCACTCCAGTTATTAACGAGACAGGGGGTGAAATCTGGGCTCAAATGGGGGGATGGGTTTGAGTCATTTAGAGAGGCCAGCCTGGGTCCCTAGGGGAACCAGAATCTGAATCATTAGGGGACAGGGGATAGATATCCCCTGTCTGTTGAGGTGCAAGGTCAGATACATAAAGACACAGGTGCTAGCAGGGGTTGGGGGTAAATAGAGGCAGATGGTTCACCTGTGCAGGATGGAACAAAGTGATCCAGAGAGGTGTGGACACCAGGCAGGCTGCCCCACTGAATCTCAGTGTTTGTTCCCTTGACAGTTGTGAGGCCCAGCGTCGCTCAAGTATGTGGCCAGACCAGCTGGGGCAGCCCCTTGGACCTCCCATCCCAGTCAGGGACCTAGGAGAAGGTAGGAAGGAGCCGGGACAGTGTGGAAAAATAAACCTAGTCTCTTCATGCCCTGAAGGGGGTCTGAGACAGCAAAGACAATGGGTGGAGTCTACTGCCCCCCCCCCCCACACACACACCTCAGACACAGGAACTGCTGGGATTTGACTGCCCCACAGCCCTACCTTCCCAGCACAGAGGGAGCTCAGACCTCTCCTTTCTGTTTGAAGGAGGACATTCTGCTGGGATGAGCAGCTGACACCCCCAATAAGAGAGAAACTGAAACTCTGGCTGGGGCAAGTTAGACACACAGTTCCCAGCATCCCCCCATATAACCCTGTTCCCACCAATTCCCGTCCCTTGGTAGCCCCCCTTCCAGGATCTCAGACCCTCTGGCCAGGTCCGAGGTGAGGCTAATGGCCAGTGTTCAGAGGTCCAGGAGCTCAGCAAAGCACAAGCTTCCCCAGGGGCTCCAGGTCCCTACAGCCCTAGGGAGCCTACTGCTGGGAGGGGCAGGACTGGAGAATGCATGTCCTAAGGGCACAGAGGGCAGGCCCCGCTTGTGTCTAGAAACTTCCAGGAGAGTCAAAATCCTCACTGACTCTCAGGCACTTTCCAGGCCAAGTGTAAAGGTTGTTGTTAAGTGCCGTCAAGTCGGTCTAGAAACCATCCAGAAATGGAATTGAGCCCTTGCTATGTGCGCCTTAGTTTTCTGCTCTATAAAATGTAGGTAATGGAGACCCCTGCTCTCACCCAAGCAGCCTCAATCAACAGAACACAGGTAAAACGCTGGCACAGAGAGATGGGAGATACAAAAGAATAGATACTGAGGTCCTCTGGGATCTTAGAGTCTCTCAGCCACAGGAGCAGGGGTGGGAGAGGGGCAGGGGCAGTGGAGGGGTCCAGGCCTAGGGTCTTGGGGGTGTGTGGAGGATGGATAGGATTCAGGGGATGGATTTTCCCTAGCTCTGGGGTTTTGAACATTGCGTCAGGACCCATAGCGGCCCGTGGACAGCAGAATGAACCACTACTTGGTCTTGCAGCAGTATCAACTTCGTTGCTATGTCTGATGCCATCATTGCAGCCACGGTGTCAGTCTATTTCAGGAAGGTTTTCCTCGTTTTTGCTGCCCACCCCCCACTTAGCATAGTGGTTATGAATCAGGCTGTGAACCACAAGGTCAGCAGTTCCAAACTACCAGCTGTTCCGCGGGAGAAAGATGAGGCTTTCTGCTCCCGTAAACATTTACAGCCTCGGAAACCCTGTACAGGGTCGCTGTGACTCCACGGCACAAAACCACCACCCCACTTTACCAAGCATAGTACCCTCAGGAAAACAACACAGGGCTTATTATAAGTGAATTCAGCTTTCTGTTCTTCTCCGCCCAGGGCTTAAGGGAATCTTTTTTATCTCCTTCCTTCAGAAGCCCTGGAGAGGTGCTAGTCTGATTCCAGGAGAATCCCAGGGAGAGAGGGAGGGTGTGGTCTGAGGCATTGACCTGTGGAATGACCAAGGGCATTCACCTGTCTCCCAGGTGGCCAGCCTTCCCCAAAGTGGGGGTCTTCCTCATGTGAACCGCCCCTGAGGGAGCTTGGGGGGATGGAATAGCCTGTGTTGTAGCAACAGTGCTTTGAGGACACGCCCCACCTGAGGTGGTGGGATCTCTCCTGTGCAAACCCGCCCACCATTCAGGCTATTGTGTGGACGCCTCACAATGGCATCTACCACAAAGCTCCGCTAGGCCTCTGACTCAGGGCAGTGTGTGTGTGTGTGTGTGTGTATACTGGGGCACCTTCCCTGTCTGCTCTGAATAGGGGAGGGGTCAGGGTGGGTGCTCACAAGTCTCTGTCTTCTCTCCAAATGGGGATAAAGAAGGGGATCATTCCACCCCTCTTCAAGTTCCCTTAAGAGAGACCCCTCTTCACAGGGAAACAAATGAACACACACATGGGCACCTGCACACCAGAGAGATCTGGTTAGAAAACCCCAACTTCCCACCCAGGGAAACGGCCAGATACAAACAGGCGTGGAACCAACGTGGGAAATCTTGAACCTTCTCTCCATAGGGCAAAGTCAGTTCCCTCCGCTCACACCACCGAAACTGGACCCCAGCCCTCTTCCTGATATCAGTGGGGTTTCCTTGTGTAGTAGGGCCCACGCTGAACCCCAAAATGACCTACAAACTCCCCCTTTGGACCCAGAAACAGCTTCCCAGCCTGCCTGTCTGCTGCTGCCCCAACCCTCACTGTCCCACACCACACCTGCACTCTCCACATACACCTGGCTGTTCCTGCCCCGGACTTTGCCCCCCACCTCCCCCTGCCAGAGCTGTTCTGTCCCCATCTTCTAAACTCCTGCCTGCACAGATCCCAGTCAAGCCCCACGCCACCCTGGAGTCCACGCAACACCCCCTCCCCCACCCTTCTTCAGCACCTTCAAGACAGCAAAGCCCCTTTCTTCCCGGAGTGACTGGAGTGAAGGGGCACAGCCTTGCTCCCTGGCTGGGGACTCCCGGAAGCCCTGGGCTGTTCTGTCCTCATTTTCCTTCAAGACCAGGGTACAGGTGCTGGGCGTGCAGGTATCAATAAATCCCCAAAGTGAATGGTTTACAGGGACCCTGGTGGTGCAATGATTCAATATTCAGCTGCTAACTAGCCATTTGAACTACAAGGTCGGTGGTTCAAGCTCACCAGCTGCTCCTCGGAAACCCTATATAGGGTAGCTATGGGTCAGAACTGACTCGAGGGCATTTAACAACAACAACCAGAAAGTTAGTGGTTTGAAACTCTAGCCACTCCTCGGGAGAAAGATGAAGCAGTCTGCTTCCAAAGAGATTTACCACCTTGGAAACATTTTGGGGGCAGTTCTGCTTTGTCCTACAAGGTTTTTATGAGTCAAAATTGACTTCTTAGCAGTGGGTTTTGGTTTGGGTTTAGTGGGTTGGTGCCAGAGTAAGCTGGCAAATGCAAAAACACAAGAATGTCAACTATCACATAATTCACAATAAAACATTAAAAAAAAAAAAGACCACCAAAAAAATACATGGGTGTCTCTGCACTGATCCTGGCAGATGTTTAAATCACTACACTGCTATGTATGAGCCCCTCAAGTCATGTAGGCAAACTAGCCTCACCAGGTAGGCTGAGAAGCAGGTTATCTTCCAGAAAGCACAGAAAGACCTCTCTTGCTGCTCCTGGTGGGGACTTGGAAAACCCAAGCCACTGCCTGCCTGCCTCTGTCCTCCAGGGAATCTGTCCGCCTCTTCTGCTGGCCCTGACCCAGCCCTGCTTACCTGGCTGACAGGTGAGAAGGAGGCTCATGGTTAGAGCCAACAGGTGCCTTCGCTGGTGCCCCCAGGGTATAGGGTGCTTCCAGCCCATTCTCCTGCCCATCAGGGCTCTGCTCCGAGCTGGCCGGAGTTCCCCGGGGCCTCACCCCCTGAGACTGAGCCTAGCCCCACCAGGCCCTGGATCTGGGGAGGGCAGTGAGGACACACCTTGCTGAGCCTGTTGAGGTGGGCAGGGCCTGCCCTGGGGGGAAGCCGATGGTGCTGAGGCTGGCAACTTTTGGCCAGCATTATTCAGTCCCCTTAGCGACAGCCAGCGTGGTGACTAACCTCTAGACACTGATACCCTGTGGGGAGAGGCTGGAGGGGGCCCCACCCAGCTGAAACCTGGCTCCTGAGTCTGTTGTTAATCCAGGAGACCCTTGGGGTCTGCCTGAAGGAGGCCGGGCAGGGGTCTATACCTTGGTCTGTCTTGTGCCTAGAAGCCCCCAGCTACAATCTGACACCCAGGGGCTGTCAGATTGAAGCTGGGTGGACCCTCCTGAGGGAGGTGGGGCGCCTCACACCTCGTGACTGGCTCTGGAGGGTTCTGGAATGTGTGGGAGTTGAGGGGAGCTGCCTTTCCATTGGGAAACTCCTTGGCTGCCAGGGGAGCTAAGGGCTGAGTGTGTTCTATTCTTGGGGAGCTCCCAGGGCTACCTCATTCCTCCCCTATCTATGTGGGACAGTGCCTTACTCTGCAGCCAAGCCCTTCAGCTGTTCCCACCAGTAGCAGAAAAGCCTGTGAGGGGCCAGAGTGGGGAACAGGGAGGGTTCCTGGGGTTTGGTCTCCTCCTTTCCAACCCTGAAGCTTCCATCCACTATGGACAGCCAGGCCTGGGCTGTTACACCAGACATCCACAAGCTGCCTCCTCCTGGCCAGTCTGTGCAGACTGATCACCAGCCCAGTCTTCCGTCAGTACCATCAGCCTTCCTCTTCCAGGCACTCAGAGCCCCTCATCTTCCCCTCATCCTGCTCTAACCCTTGAATCCTTAGGGAAGTGACCATCACTCGTTTCCAAGATGGCAGGCCATGAATTCAGCCTTGGAATACTCAGCATCCTACACGGCTTCACATCTTTGCTGCCTGTTGTGCATGGAGCCAAACCCCATGGTACCGGTGGTCAGGCCGACTTGTCAGCAACCCCTGGGTCTTACCACCCTATGCAGCTTCCTGCTAGCTTCCTCTCAGACTGGGCCTCTGCCATGCTCCAGTCCTGTAGCCTCAACTACAGCCCAGTGATGGAACACCCTGGCCCGAGGCTGAGATGGACAGATGGACAAATACAGAGTAACAAAGCTGGTGTGGCAGAAGTGCCAAGGATGGTGAGAGACACGAGGCTTCCTAGAGAATGTATTTTATACTCCTAGACCTGCTTAGGAGTCATGGTGTGGCGCTGCAGGTTAATGCGCTGGACTGCAAGGTCGGTTTGAACTGCAAGGTTGGTGGTTCAAGCTCACCAGCCACTCCTTGGAAACCCTATACAGGGTTGCGATGGATCTGAACTGACTTGACGGCACTTAACAAGCGCAACAACAAGACTTGCTTGAGTTCACGGGGTCAGGGGAGATGTGGAGAAAGAAAGGGAAAAACATAGCATCTACAAGGGCTGAAAGGAGCTCTGGTAGCATGTGGTTACGAATCGGGCTGCTAACCTCAAGGTCGGCAGTTCAAAACTACCAGCTGTTCCGCGGGAAAAAGATGAGGCTTTCTGCTCCTGTAAAGATTTACAGCCTCAGAAACCCTGTACAGGGTTGCTATGGGTCGGAACCTTCTCAACGGTACTTAACAACAACAACAACAACACAAAGGCTGAAGGCAGCAGCAGGGAGAGCAGAAAAGGGGAAGTTGGTTAGGCCCTGGTCCTACCTCTACCCCCAGCTCCACCAAAGCAACCTGTATTTCTTAAGAAAAACCATCACAGAGAAACAGAAGCTGGGCCACAGCGTCTTCTGGGACTTTATTGGGTTCAACTTCCCTACCTCACAGATGCAAAGCTGGGTCCGTAAACAGTACCAGGACCTGCAGGGTCAGTGACAAAGTTGGACTGGGCTTCAAGACCCTGGACTCCCTAACTAGTGCTCTTGCCTTTTAGGAAATTCAAAACTCCCTTTGTCATATGCAAAGCCCTTTATAACATGGATGGACCTGGAGGACATTATGCTGAGAGAAATTAGACAGTTACAAAAGGACAAATATTTGAGACCACCATTGTAAAAGCACAACAAGGTTTCCACACTGTAAGAAACCGTCTCTGGTGGTTAGCACAGGTGTGAAGGAAGAGGAAGTAATTCACTGGCTAGAGGGTCGGCACGTGTTAACTTTTGTGATGGGAAAGGTAATGTACAAGAGGAAGGTTGCAATTAGTCTAATGGACTAATGGAGAACAGGAACGTCAGTTTCCATGACCCCAAGGAGACCACCAACCTTGTGGTTCAAGCTGACATTATAGTCCACTGCATTAACCGACAAGACCACAACATGGATAATCATGTTGTTGTTGTTGTTAGGTGCCATCGAGTCGTACCAACTCACAGTGACCTTATGCACAGCAGAACGAAACACTGCCCAATCCTGGGCCAACCTCATTATTGTGCCATGCTTGAGCCCATTGATGCTGCCACTTGACCAATCCATCTCACTGGGGGTCTTCCTCTTTTTCTCTGACCTCCATATTACCAAACATGACATCCTTCTCTAGCGACTGGTCCCTCCTGACAACATGTCCGAAGTATGAGAGACAAAGTTTGGCCATCCTGGCCTTCAAGGAGCACTCTGGCTGTATTTCTTCCAACACAGATCTGTTGGTTCTTTTGGCAGCCCATGGCACTTTCAATATTCTCCTCCAACACCAGAACTCAAAAACATCAATTCTTCTATGGCCTGCCTTATTCACTGTCCTGCTTTAGCATGCATGTGAGTTTATTGAAAATACCATGGCTTGGGTCAGGCGCACCTTAGTCTTCAAGCTGACGTCTCTGATCTTCAACACTTTAAATCACAGCTACTGTTCATTGAGTCTCATGTACTTTGGACATGTTATCAGGAGGTACCAGTCCCTAGAGAAGGATACCATGCTTCGTAAGTGACAAAGAGGAAGACCCTCTATGAGACAGACTGACACAGTGGCCGTTACAATGGGTACAAACACAAGAATGAGTGTGAGGATGGTACAGGATCGGGTGCTGTTTCATTCTATTGTATTATGATATTGTTATGAGTCAGAATTGACTTAAGGATACCAACACCTCACAATAACAATGTTGTTGTTGTTAAGTATCATCAGTCAGTTCTAACTCATAGCAACCCTGTATAGGGTTTCCAAGGAGCAGCTGGTGGTTTTGAACTGCCACCCTTGTGGTTCACAGTCCAGTGCTGATCCTACAGCGCTACACAGGAGAGTAACAACAACAATAGGTGGTACAAATGGCTAATGTCTTTGACTGCTTACCCAAAGGTTGGAGGTTTGAAGAACCTTGGAAGAAAGGTCTGGCAATCTACTGCCAAAAGATCAGTCATTGAAAACCTTATGGCTCATAGTTTCACATTAATGGACATGGGGTCACCAAATCAGAGTCCACAGGTCAGTTTACTGGGTGCCAGGCACAGTTGCCAATCATCACCATAATACTGAATTAGGACTCACCCCTCACAGCCACTGTTTAAGGAAGTTGCTGCTAATTGTGCCATTACACAGATGAGAAAACCAAGGCTCAGTGACATGCCCAAAGTCACACAGCTAGGACCTAGCAGAACTAATATTTAAGCTCAACTTTTGAAGCTAAACCAGTGATTCTCACCCAAGGGTGTCTTTTACCCCTAGGGGATGCTTGGCTCTGTCTAGAGACATTTTTGGTGTTCATGACAGAAAAATGAGGGGCTGCAACTACATCCAATGGATGGAGGCCAGGGATGCTGCTCAACACCTTGCAGTGGGCAACTCCCCTCCCCCCTCTGAAAATTCAGCCCCAAATGTCAATCAATAGTGTTGAGGCTGAGAAACTGTGTTGTAGGTGA